CTTCTGCAGAGATAAGATGTTAAATTATTACACGAAAACAAACAACTTTTACAAAGAGAAAGAAGATGCTCCATTATCGCAAAGAAGATTTTCCATTATCAAAAAATGACAAAATATGATGCCAATTTGTCAAAAGCTTTAGAGTTTTGTCTGCCACATCTACACTCCGACAAATGCAAGTTGATTCAATAATTCTCAAGATTGATCCGGTAATCCTTCGGTTTCCCGTTTCAAGATATTTCAAGACTCCAAGACTCCTATATATTGAGGAGATATGTTTTAATTAGAATCATCTCTAGTTCTCTAAAAATTTCTCTCATTAAATTTCTCTCAAATGTTTAGTTCATGTCTAAGAAAAGTGTTCTCCTATCTACTTCTAGATGTTCAAAATCTTTAGATTTTCAAATCATACTTGCTCCAGACGGATGCTCTGATTGTAATTTAAAAGAAGGTAATATATAAAGAATTTTATTCATTGTTGTATTATCTCTATGGCAATCTCATTTCGAGTTATTCTAACTATTAATTCTACAAAGTTTGAAATTTTGTTAAAATAATACTCGCATTTAATAATAATCAAGTTAATCAAATTCATGCTTGAAATATTTAAAAACTTTGTTCTTTTATTATTCATCATGTCTGATTCAAAGATACAAGCTAATCGTCATTATTATTGTAATCAATTAAAAGCTTTACAAGTTCTAATCAATAATCATAAGTTTATAAGCAAAGATAGAAAACAGTTTTATAAAATGATGTATGATTTTTTATCATTAAAAATATCTGAAACTACCTTATTAATTTGTTCCAAAGTTATATCAAAAAAAATCTGAAACAACTTGTTAATTTGTTCCGCAAAAAAGATGGTATATATATTATATATTATATATATAATCTATATATATATATATATTATATTATATATATATATAGGGAAATGTTAATTGTAAAACAAAAAAAAACCCTAAAACTCATAAAAATACATAAAAAAAATACTTAGAGATCACAAAATCTTTTTTTGACTATATATATACAAACATCGCAGTTTTTTTAATAAAAAAATTGCTGGAAAAAAAAAAATTAAAAAGTCGATTTTTTTTGTTTTTTTTTTTTCAAAATTTTTCAGCAATTTGTTAATAAAGTTGCGATTTTTGTATATATAAAGTCAAAAAAAAAAAAACTTGTTGTGACTCTAAGTATTTTTTTTGATCCATTTTATGATTTTTAGGGTTTTTTGTTTTCCATAGAACCTGAACCTATATATATTATATTATATATATATATATATATATATATATATATAATATATATATATATCTATATATATATAGCCATTGCATCTTCGGCTGTTTGGTTGCTTAGGTTTTGTGGTTTGGTTTAGGCATTGTGTTCTGAACGTCGTAACTTCTTAATACGATCTCAGATATTAACAATCTTTATATCTACACGTTTGTAATTGAGTCTATTACAACTTACATTTAGATTACTTCTGTTAAAAAGTAACTTATGATCTTTATATACATGCGTTCTTTATAAATGTATGTATGGACATTTTTTATAAAATCGTATGTAACGCTTGAATCTCGGTAAGTTCCTCTTTTCACCTTGCATATTTAAATTGTCCCATTTTGATCCTTGAGTTGTACGAGGGCGTACAACGAGGTACGCTTAGCGTACAAGTGTTGAAGCAAGTACGCAGGGCGTACTCATGCGATGGTGTGATCGGGGTCTCGGATGCGTACGCGGGGCATACATCTTCGTATGCGGGGCGTACACAATGATTAATGAAAATCCTAATTTTAGGGGTTGGCCACTATATAAGCATCCTCATGGACTTGAAACCCTCATTTCACCAGCCTCCATGTCCCCTTTACCCTACATTCGAACCCTAATCCCATCTTGTGTGATTTTGGAGCTTAGAAGGACATTTGGAAAAGTATTTTGGTGCTTTGAAGGAAGGTGTCCATCCTTGAAGCTTCATTGAAGGAGTGAAGGCTTATATATCCAGAACCTTATCATCTTTTGGCACTCATTTGAGGTATAAAGTCTTGAACTTGATGCTTATTAGCTTAGATCTCTTTTGGTTTGGATTTATGGACCCTTTTTGTCCCATTGATGAGATCTTATGAGTCCACATCATTTTTGAAGCTTAGAATTGCCACTCTTGGTGTTATTTGGGTCCTTGAGTCATAAAGTTGTCATTTTTGAGGTTGAAATCCATCCATGCACGAGTTAGGGCCATTTTCATGGAAGTAGAATGTTATATTTTGAGTTTGGGTTCATTGGAGGCATGCTAAGCCACCAAGTCAGTGACTATTATGGGTCTAGACATTGATTAGGACTCAGATCTGTGGTTTGGATCTTTGGTATAAGCATTAAGTGCTTAATGGAAAAAGTGGCTTAATAGAGAAGTACGTTGGGCGTACAAGTCTGTACGCGCAATGTACAAGCCAGCAAGCAAGTACGTGTTGCATACAGCTGAGTACGCCCTGCGTACTGAGTCAGAGAGGGCTTCGAATATTTGGGCCTCGGTTTGGGCCATTTCTTGGACCTTGTTGCTTTCGGCCTTAGTGGGCCATCTAAAATCAGGTTTTTGGACTAAGGATATGATTACGCTTTAGGGTAAGGCCCATTAGAGGGGTTTGAGCCCAATTTGGAAAATTGGGCCATAAGTGGGCCACTAGTCGGCTTTGGAAGATTATTTAGTGTTGGGCCTTTTATATTGTGGATTTGGGCCTTAGGCATGGATCAAATTAGGCCAGGGGTAAAATGGTCATTTTACCCCATGTATGGAGTATTGAATATTGATTGAGACCCAAGTATTGATTGGGTGTTATTTTGTATTGATAGCTCGAGGAGTCGTTAGGGCAGCAACTAGGGATTTCTTTCTGTGAGATTCAACATTTGAGGTGAGTTTTCTCATTGGGTTTAGTGGGTCTAAGGCACAAATGTCAACCCTTATTGATTATGCTAGGATGCTAGGAGTCCGCGTGACCCTTGCATGGATTATGTGCTGCTATGTATACCGGGCGGGGCTTGATGTCGGGCGAGACCCGATGACTAGAACATATGCTAGTGTTTATGATCATTATATGTGTTAGCATGTTGATGTGATATATTGTATGTGTATAGTGGGCGAGGCCTGAGAATAACAGATCTATAAACATAGCGGGGCTCGATGCCGGGCCAGGCCCGATGTTGGGCGGGGGCCCAATATGTGGTTTATTATGTATGGTATGGGGTAGTTTGGGGAACTCACTAAGCTTTGTGCTACTGTTTTTAGTTTATGTTTCAGGTACTTCCGGTTGCAAATGGAAGAGCTCGGGTTGATTGCATCGCACACACCATTGGGATTCCGCATATGATATTTTACTCTGATTTTATGACATTTGATACATTGGATATTTTGAGATGTATGGATGATATTTCGAAATACTATTTTATCTATTCTAAAAATGAAATTTTTGTTACCATATTTTGGGAAGTTACATCGTAAGTAAAAATATTTTACTTTTTAACTGGAGTAATCTAAACGAAAGTTGTAGTAGCCTCAAATACGAGCACGTGGATATAAAGATCGTTAAAATTCAAGACCATATGAAAAAATTACGACGTTCAGAACAAAAGACTAAGTCAAACTACAAGACCTAAACAACCAAGCAACCATAAACATCAACATCACTGAACACCTCATTAATGAATGTCCCACGTATGATACCGTGAGAAAAACATAAAGAAACCAATTATAAGTACTAAATTTGTACAAAAACAACAAAGACTTATTTTGCAATATATATATATATATATATATATATATATATATATATATATATATATATATATATTCAGGTTCAGGTTCATTTCTAGTCTATCTCTTTCTATTTCTATATATGGAAAGTTTCAAAATCATCATATAATAATCCATAAATTGCAATAGAAAAGAAAAAGGGAGGTTTGTGATGATTTTGAAATCTTTTCTACTAGGTAATCTAGTATCCTTATGCATGAAGATAATCAATTCGGTCGTTGTGGTCGGACTCTATTATGGATTTCTGACCACATTCTCCATAGGGCCCTCCTATCTCTTCCTTCTCCGAGCTCGCATTATGGAAGAAGGAGAAGAAGGAACCGAGAAGAAGGTATCAGCAACAACTGGTTTTATTACGGGAGAGCTCATAATGTTCATATCGATCTATTATGCGTGAGACCAAATCTAAAAATAATTTTAAAATGCAAAAGAAAAGGAAAAATCCAAAAATTCTTTTTTTAATTATTATTTTCATCACTTTAATTATCTAAATAAATAAATAAATAAAATAAATAAATAAATTACCGTTTTTTTTTTTGAAAAATACGTGAAATATTCTAATAGAATATTACACTGTAAATATTCTAATGTGATTTTTAGAATGTTAGAATATTGTACTAGATTTGTCAGATATGTAGAATATTCTAATATTATACTAGAATATGTAAAAAATGTATTTATTTTTTATTTTGTATTTTTTATTTTTGGTATTTTTTTATTTTTTTTGGAAAATATAAATTCCGAAAATAATATTTGAAAAAAAAAATTCGAAAATTTTCAATTATTTTGCATTTTAAAAATGTTTATTTTTTATCTACCAAATGAGTGACTAGGATTGCGTCTCACGGTCTCACAAAATTAGGCCGTCTCACATGAACCTAACCCTATATAATATATATATATATAGATATATATATATATATATATATATATATTATATATATATATATATATATATATATATCTATATATACACTGAAAAAAATTTAGGTTAAAGGCACCAAGTTTATGCAAGCATTTAAAATTAAAACCTCTAATTAGCATACAAAGATTGTTGACAAAAGTATAGCTCATTCATTAGTAACCAATATCACAACCACTTCTCTAATTTTTTTAATCTTTTCCCCCCTATTTTACCTTTTGTGCCATAACATTTGAATTTGAAGAAACTCAATAACTTTACACCACAAGAATGGACATAGGAGTCTTGATTTTGGCATGTACAATCTTTACATGGATCTTCCTTCACCGATGGAACCAACGATCCAAAAAAGGCCCAAAAACTTGGCCCCTTGTTGGAGCCGCTATCGAGCAACTAATGAACTACGACCGAATGCACGATTGGCTGGTCAACTATCTATCAAAGTCAACCACTGTTGTGGTCCCAATGCCCTTCACCACTTATACTTACATAGCCGATCCGGCTAATGTAGAGCATGTTCTTAAAACTAACTTTGCAAACTACCCAAAGGTCTAATTGCATTTACTTTCAACGCTTTTTTTTTTTTTTTTTTTTTTTTTTTTTTTTTTTTTTTACTGTTACGGTGTTATCACACACGATGGAAATTGAGTACTGTTTTTGTATATTCCTTTAACTACAATTCTATTGGGATTCTTTTTTGTTTATGATATAGGCATAAAGTTTTATGTTTTTCTTTTTCGGGTTTTGTAGGGCGAAGTGTATCATTCGTATATGGAGGTTTTGCTTGGAAATGGAATCTTCAATTCCGATGGAGAGAATTGGCGAAAACAAAGAAAAACCGCAAGTTTTGAGTTTGCTTCTAAAAACTTAAGGGATTTTAGCACGGTGGTCTTCCGAGAGTATAGCCTCAAGCTCTCTTCAATTCTAAGCCATGCAACTTTTCATACCCAACAACTAGACATTCAAGTAAGCTTTCTACGGTTATTTTAAAAGATAGGGATATGATGACAATTACGCCTTTTCCACATACAAATAACCAAAGTCAAGTCCATGTTCCCACCTTGGTCTACGTTTTTAGGTGTAACAAAACATTTCATCTTTTGTCCAATTAACATCAGCTTTTCCTTTTCCCCTGTCACAACAGTCTATTGCATGCCAAATACAGTCATATTTTGTACAACAAATAGGGCCTCAACAAGCAAATCTCATTGGTTATGCGCTGAAACTCATGTTTTTTTGTAGGAATTATTGATGAGGATGACTTTGGACTCGATATGTAAGGTGGGATTTGGAGTAGAGATTGGTACATTGGCTCCTAACTTACCCGAAAACAAATTTGCCAAAGCATTTGATGCTGCAAACATTATAGTCACTCTTCGGTTCATTGATCCACTATGGAAAATCAAAAAGTTTCTAAGAGTAGGTTCGGAAGCCGTTCTTGACCAAAGCATAAAAACGATCGATGACTTTACATATTCAGTCATCCATAAAAGAAAATCCGAAATAGAAGAAGCTCAAGAATGTCCTAATAACCATAAGGTAATGTGAGTGTTACGTATTAATAAGGTGATATATATAATCATATAGGTAACTAAATTTGACCTTATTTCATACATTTATCAGATGAAGCATGATATATTATCAAGATTTATCGAGTTAGGAAAAGACCCTGAAAACAACATCAATGACAAGAGTTTGAGAGACGTTGTATTAAACTTTGTGATTGCGGGACGTGACACCACAGCAACAACTCTTTCGTGGGCCATTTACATGATCATGACTCACGATCATGTTGCAGAAAAACTGTATACAGAACTTAAAGCATTTGAACAAGAATGTGCGAAAGAAGAACAAGTGTGTTTGGATCCTTGTGACGACACACAAGATCTTAAATCTTTTGACTTGAGAACAAAGCAATTTGCAGAACTTATGAGTTATGATTCGCTTGGAAAGTTGTACTATTTGCATGCTGTCATCACAGAAACGCTTCGGTTGTATCCTGCTGTACCTCAGGTAAGTTGCTTAAATTTAATTTATTTGAAACAAGAGAAAGTACACTTTGATGAACTTAGTAAATGTTTTATAATTATTTTTTTGAAAAGGACCCAAAAGGAATCTTGAATGATGATATTTTACCTGATGGAACGAAAGTAAAAGCAGGAGGTATGGTGACATATGTACCTTATTCGATGGGACGAATGGAGTACAATTGGGGCCCAGATGCAAATCAATTTAAGCCCGAAAGATGGCTTAAAGATGGGTTTTTCCAAAACGCATCTCCTTTCAAATTCACTGCATTTCAGGTGACCAAAAAAAAAAAGATATATACAATTTTTTGTTTAATGAAAATAATTTTTTTTTTAACTAAAATGACAGGCTGGCCCAAGAATATGCCTTGGAAAAGACTCGGCCTACCTACAAATGAAAATGGCGCTTGCAATTTTGTGTCGATTTTTCAAGTTCGAATTGGTGAAAGGACATGTGGTGGATTACAGAATGATGACAATTCTGTCAATGGCAAATGGATTAAAGATTACAGTTTCAAAGCGTTCGTAAAATACTTTCCAATTTCGTTAAAATATATATAGATTATGTTGTATGAATTATGATCTTCAATCATATTTGGATTATTACACTACGATAGTAATTCTCCCTTCATGTTTCTATAATCTTCTATTTCTTCATGTACCATTGATGTCACACGAACATGAAATCCAGGATATGGTTCGTACCCAAAAAAGTTATGGAGTGCCTGAGTTAGGAGAAAAAAAATTGTATGATCAAATTTTAGCTTAATTTTAGTTTTTGATGAATTATATGTTGAAAATAGAAGTTGATTACCTCAAATAAAACAAAGAATGGGGCCATTAAGAAGGCTTGTAAAATGTTGTCTAGAAGGGCTGGTGCTCTTCTCTGTGAATTTTTTTTATTAGAAATTATATGCAATTTATGAAACAAACCATTATATATTCTTTTTTGTTTTATAAACAAATAAAAAGAATTTTGTGAATTATAATTAATTTTGTGAACCGGAAAAAAATTATGAAAGGGAACCTGCTAACCTCAAATGCACCATGTCCTACAAATTGAGCAATCCAAGAAACCAATTGCACAACAAGAACAACCTATCAATTAGGGCAAAATTCACATTATCTGTAAATCCCAAATCAAATTCATCGGAAATATTTAACTTTGATTGATAAATCATCAATATAAGCAAAACCCATATCAATTGCATGTTAAAAGAGACGATAAAACTTACCTTCCATGCGAGTTGAAACCCTAGGAGACTTGCAAGAACACTACTTGCAATCCAACAAAAGAGACAGAGTAAAGCAGCCAACGAACCAGCTTTATAATCAAAGCAGACATAGAACATAGCGTAGATTAAAGTCAGCAAAAACCCAAAGTTAAAAATTAGAATAACATTATTCCCAAATAAAGAAAAATCGACGTGAGGGAGATCAAAAGGAAGTGGTATGAAATTGAAGAGAAGAACAACAGTGAAAAAGATTGGCCAAACAAATATCATATGGATTGCTATGTTAATTGGGTTGCTGTGATAAGCCCCATAGAAAGCAAAGTGTTTCTCAAGAAGAAGCCCCATTTCCTAATTTTGCAAAAGGTGTGATTTGAGGGAAGCACAGAAACGATCAAACGAAATCAGTGGGAGTTTTGAGTTAACAAAGGTTTTTTTTTTTTTTTTTTTTTTTTTTTTCTCGCTTCAACGCTAGCCTTGAGGAAAGGGAAGACCGTTTTGCGGTTGGGTGACAGTGTGACTGTTGGATGTGTTTATCTAAGGAGATCCGTTATACCCACCACATACCACATATGTGGTGGGTGTCAAATCAGCACCACATTCTTCTACCATTAACATGGGATATCTATCACTAACTTACCACTTCATCTCATTTTTTTATTTAAATTTAATTCAAAAATACATTAAAACACAATAACATATTTTTTTAATTAAATTTAATTCAAAAACACAATAAAACATATTTTTTTATTAAACTAGTTTTTTATTTAATAAAACAAGATTACATTAATTTAAAACAAACAATATTTAAAAAAAACATAAAAAACCTTAAAAATACAACCACAAACAACTTAAAACTACTTTTTAAACCTTATTCTCACTAAATTTTGTGCACTCTCTTAATATTCGCCAAGCTTCAACGTGTTTAAACGGTGTGTGTTTCGTGTCTTCATATTGGTTCATGGCCACAGCAAACGGGTCGCCTTCGTGTACGTTATTTATAACAAAGTTATAAATACCATTGAACTTAACGCATTTAACTCTCATATCACGATACTTCGAACATAATTCATCCTTTTAGGAGCCATTGGTTTTGGAATAATGTAAAAGAAGTGTGTGATTTTATGAGAAACGAAAGAAGAAATTGTGTGAATATGTTTAATAGAAAGTGTGGTCTTTAATAGCCGTTGCAGCATTGAACCAATAGAAATGTCCGTTTGATTTCGTCGTCGGGAGCACGGACGAGCACGACCACGCCCGACCACGGAACATCGGGGTGGTGTGCACGAGAATCTCTCGTGGCCAACTAGACCACGATTGGCTTCGTGGTGTGTATACCACAAGGTCTAAGAATCAAAACTGCAGACACCTAAAGTAATAAATAAATAGGCTTGGTTTATTTTTATGAGGAGTTTAGGTACGTTAATGTCTAAAATTTATAAAGTTTTTTTATTTTTATATTTTGAGTTTACAATTTTATTATAAAAAAATAAAAAAATAAAAAAAACTTAACTATGAAATCAAATTTACATAAAGAAAACCTTATGTCTATAAATATTTTATGTTTTTACTCTAAGTATATTATCTAAATCTGACATGAAAGTTTGTTAATTTTTATTGGTTTTGTCTCTGGAAACTTGTTATTACAGTTAATAATGAAAAAAATGAATTTTTTTGGCAAACTTTGGGCATTAACCAAAAAAAAAAAATATACGCACAAAACCAATAAAATTTGACAAACTTAAGGACTTTCATATCAAAAGCATAGCTTATATGATCATAAAATAATAATAATTTTTCAAAAATAAAAAAAGTTATCATATTTGCGAAGATGGATTTGTGAGTTCATGAATGTGAGTTCAATAGTCCCCGTATAAAGAAATGTATTTTCATATTGTTGTTTGATCCATTTCGTGAATTGTATTTGAAATCTTTCAAAACATCATCGATTACGTACCATTGTGAAGTCTTTTTTCAAGCTAAATGTTATATGATATTGAGATGTTCTTCTTAACCCAAGTGGTTGGAGGTTTAAATCCCATTTGGAATAGTGATATAATTTATAATTAGATTGAAATGTCATTTAAACTTATAATACACTTATTATACATTTTACTATATGATAACTTGTGTTTAACGTTCTTTAGGGGATAATTTATTGCAGAATTTTTATTTGAAAATGATATGGTATTTGTTAGAAGTAAACTAGTGCAAAATGTTTGATGATTGGACATGAATACAATGAAATAGCAAAGTAAGTTGCTATATTTGGACAAAGAGATAAAGTACGATGTTATTGTCTAAAATAGTTGAATAAACAAGCATATGAACGAGGCATCCTTCGTATTGGGAATTAACACATGGAAACCATGAAGAAAACATTTCCCAAGCATGAGGTTAAGCATAGATTTCATAAAGACCGGTTAAAATAGAAAATGTTTGTGTGTGATTTTGTTGGTGTTGGTAGATTCCCAAAAAAAAAATAGTAGAAATCATATCTGAAAATAGAAGTAAAATCACGGTGAAAAACGTCTAATCTCGAGAAATGAAAAAAATCAAATCTGGCATGACACGTGCATTATGTTTTCACCCATTCTCTCATGATTAATAGTATAATACGAAGCATCCAAGCACCGATGACACAGTGCTTCATCTTATGCTTTGGGAGGCCTGCATATATTTTCAAGCATTTTAACTTAGTTTTAGGTTGCATTAATTTTTAAATAGTCTCCATTTTAGTTTACCTTTAGGGCTTGAAATTTTTCAAAAAAAAAAAAACAATCCAAAAAGATTTTCTTTTAAACTTATTTTTCTTTTATTCCTTAACTATTAATCCATCGTGAGATAGTTAAGTCTTTATGATGCGATACAGATACATGAATTAGATTATTTAAAGTTGAACATCCATTTATTTTTTAGAAGATGTTTGAATTTGTCTCTCTTTTGTTGGAATAGAAGGAGTTGGAATCAAAATTTTAGGTATAGAATTAGTTTACTAAAATTAAAAGGTTTTTTTTTTATGTTTTTGGTTGTTAAACCGGTTTCAAAAATTAAATAAAAATAAACAATTTTTGTATTGAAATACCGTGGGAATGAGGTTTCCAGTTGAACAAATTTTAATACAAAATCGTACATCTTTTGTCTTATAATTTCGGATTCTACCAATTATTATTTTGAGGATAATGTATGAAGTTCGAGACTTTCTAATGACAAGAAAGAGATAGTTTATAAGTACAAACATATGGATTTGAATCATTGTTTTCCTAAATCTATAATCACTACAAAAAATATGTCATTTAGTGCATACAAAAAGTGTCACTAAAAACACAATATAATGCCACTAAAAGCTTCTATGAGAATCTGCGGCACACATAATAAGTGCCACTAGAAACGCTCCCACTAAAACCCTTTAGTGACACTTTTTGTTTTTGTTGCTGCAGTTTTTAGGCTTTTAGTGACACTTTTATTTGTCACAATACAAAACAGTGTTTTGTGGCACATATTTTGTCCCATTAAAAGCTCATGTGATTCAAGAATTCATGTTACTTTTAGTGACACATTTTAAGATTTAGTGGCACTCTTTTATTTGCCACAATCATGGTTGCAGAAATCGGGATTAATTGGCGATTAATCGTGGATTAATCGTTTGACATTCTCCAACCGTCGAGGATTAGGGCATTAATCGGAAATTTAGGATTAATCGGGTTTGGCGGGATTAATCGGTCAACAAAAGTCAACAAAAGTCAACAAAAGTCAAAAAAAGTAAAAAAAAAAGTCAAAAAATGTGAAAAAAAATTTTTAAAAATTCAAAAAACCAACTTTTTTTTTACTCCAAAATTTTCAAATTTTCAAAATTTCGAATATTATACCAAAATGTTTATATTTTCGTATTTCCAATTTTCCAAATTACAATTTTATTATTTTCTAATATTTAATGATGTTTTTAACTTTGTTGTTTGTTTTGATTCTTTCTTCCTCGGGGACAATGAAATGATTAATCTTAGGGATATTTTGTTAGCTTGCAGTTCATGCATATTTTTATCATGTTTTATTTAACATTTAGCATAGTTTAATACACGTGATCATAGCATTATCATGCATTGCACGACATCTTTGTATTGTACATTGTTTTTTTAAAAACCATAACAAAACAGACGGAATCTGAAAGCTTGGACTTGAAGATACTCGATGAAAATTTGGATAAAAAGCTTAGATTATTGAAAGAATGAGAAAGAAAAAGGAAAATAAGCTTTGAAGAAGAAACAATGATTGAAAAAAAGTGCAGAACATATGGTCATGCAAAAGCACAAAACAATCTATTATGAATTGCATGACCATGAAAAAATTACACTAAGTTCGCATGTGGTCATGCAAAAGCACAAAACAATCTATTATGAATTGCATGACCATGAAAAAATTACACTAAGTTCGTATGGTCATGCAAACAGTTTTTCATCACCATATTTTTAGTACAAATCATTTTTTTTCAAATGAAATTTAGTTCTTAAACCCTAAAAGCTATATATTTTACGGGATAGACGTTCTATAAGCCTAAGAACTTCATTTTATAATCATTGTAAGTCAATTTGATGGCATTTTTTTTAATTTTATTGTAACAGTAATTTTTTTCTTCGAACAACCGAACAATTGTAATAGTGATTTAGTCTTCATATGTGGGCAAGTCATATCGATTCAAACAATAGGGTTTTTGTGTGAAACTTTGGTTTGATCTATTATATGAAACGATCAATGTAAGATTACTTTTGAATGTTTTGTTTATATGAAATCTTGTGTTTAACTGTTGAGTATGAATCCACAGAAATGTTGAGTGTGAATCCACAGAAAAGCTGGTCAAAAATGGCAAGAACAATGTGAAGTTGTGAAGCCACAATTGTTGAATGAAGACCCAGTTGTGTTTTTTTGACTACTTCTGATTTCCATCTCTATATAAGAGATTATTCTGTATTTGTAAAACTTGTATCTAGTGTAACACAGAAAGAGTGCAGATTAGCACCAAGAAATGTAAATTCCTAGTTACCGGTGGACGTAGGTCAGAGAAGGACCGAACCACGTTAAATCCCTCATGTTCATCCTTGTGTTCTTGTTTTTCGTGAGCTGTGTGTGTGTTTAGAGTCGTGTGTTAAGTGTCTCGATCCTAACAAGTGGTATCAAAGCCTTGGTTTAGCTCCAGAGGGTGATTTTCTGTTTTTTGATCGAAATTTTTTTTCGTCAAAAACGATTTTGGTGTATACCGTTGGAAAGGTCTCGTTCCGAAGATTCCGAAAATATTTTTTTCTGAATTTTTTGACCACCGGAAGACGTCATATAAACAAGATTGGTGTATACCGTTGGAAAGGCACTGTAGCAGATTTGAAAATTTGCAATTTGGCCCCTGAATTTCCAAAAAATTGCAAGATAGGTCATTGTTCTTTCAGAAAATGGCAGAAAGCAGTAAGCTTCAGATTGAGAAGTT